TATATATCATTATTATATATAAAAACCTTGTTTTTCTCCTTTCTCCAAAATCAAATTTGGAGGGTTTCTTTCGTGCCACGTACCCTATTTTTCGAACGAGCGCAACGTACCACAACAGACGTTCTTCACTTTCCTTCAATGTCTCACATTATGCATATTGACATAATCACCGACTTCGCGATTTCCCTCCCCCATTAAGCCCAACTCCGGCTACATCACCACCGACGACATTATTCATAAAAAAAAACCTAATTTCTCGGACGAAAAGCAAGTTCCAGTTCATCTTTGTCGCTTGATAATTGATGACCATATGGTTTTCTAAAAGGGATTTATGGTTCTCCATCTCGATTTTTCTCCATCGTCTTCATTTAGTGTCTCTGATTCTTCTCATGTCAATACTTCCTCTCTACATCCACTGATGGTTTAATTTGCGTCGGACTTTAAAGAAGAAACCGATTGGTACCGATCGTTTCTTGTTCTTACTCTTTTTCTCTATTCATGTTATCAATTTAAACATCACCACAACCCATACTTCAGGTTCACCACTTTCCCTCTCCCAATGGCATGGTATCGATCTGTTATGTCTGTATATGGGTCCATGTTTTCTTGAATTTTCATTGCTTCCATCATTCCATGATATAATGTACTCTTTTCTTGATGGGATTCTTGATTGAAATGACTATTCTGCCTCTTGAAACTTTTCTAGGTTTGCTTACAACATCGGGCTTATATTGGTTTCCATTTTATGGTTAATTTGCTTAAAAATTTTCATGATTCTTGAGTAAAAAGTATAAGTTACTGCATAAGTGCGTGTCTGCAGTCCCTAGAGAGGGAGGAAATCATGAAAAGTACTAAAAACTCAGTCTAGAATTAGATTTAGGCGGCATTTGTTTCGATAACCCCGACATATCATATGAAGTTAAAGAGCATGTGATCGATATATATGTTCACAAAAATAGTTTCGTTCACGAATTACTCACCTATTGGAAATCATGAAAAGTACTAAAAATAGTATATTGAGTAATTTTTCCAATAGGTGAGTAATTCGTGAACGAAACTATTTTTGTGAACATATATATCGATCACATGCTCTTTAACTTCATCTGATATGTCGGGGTTATCGAAACAAATGCCGCCTAAATCTAGTTCTAGACTGAGTTTTTAGTACTTTTCATGATTTCCTCCCTCTCTAGGGCCTGCAGACACGCACTTATGCAGTACCTTACACTTTTTACTCAAGAATCATGAAAAATTTTAAACAAATTAACCATAAAATGGAAACCAATATAAGCCCGCTGTTGTAAGCAAACCTAGAAAAGTTTCAAGAGGCAGAATAGTTGATTCAATCAAGAATCCCATCAAGAAAAAGAGTACATTATATCATGGAATGATGGAAGCAATGAAAATTCAAGAAAACAAGGACCCATATACAGACATAACAGATCGATACCATGCCATTGGGAGAGGGAAAGTGGTGAACCTGAAGTATGGGTTGTGGTGATGTTTAAATTGATAACATGAATAGAGAAAAAGAGTAAGAACAAGAAACGATCGGTACCAATCGGTTTCTTCTTTAAAGTATGACGCAAATTAAACCATCAGTGGATGTAGAGATGAAGTATTAACATGAGAAGAATCAGAGACAGTAAATGAAGACGATGGAGAAAAATCAAGATGGAGAACCATAAATCCCTTTTAGAAAACCATATGGTCATCAATAATCAAGCGACAAAGATGAACTGGAACTTGCTTTTCGTCCGTGAAATTAGAGCTTTTTTTATGAATAATGTCGTCGGTGGTGATGTAGCCGGAGTTGGGCTTAATGGGGGAGGGAAATCGCAAAGTCGGTGATTATGTCAATATGCATAATGTGAGACATTGAAGGAGAGTGAAGAACGTCTGTTGTGGTACGTTGCGCTCGTTCGAAAAATAGGGTACGTGGCACGAAAGAAACCCTCCAAATTTGATTTTGGAGAAAGGAGAAAAACAAGATTTTTATATATAATAATGATATATAATACAGATTAACGCGTAAACTCAAATAATAACCCAAACATGACCTTTTAATAAGGTTTTGAAAACCAATCTCAGACCGGAGACTGAACCGGTCGTCTTACTGGTTCAATGGTTCAACCGGTACAACCAGTCGAACCATTCTCAAAAACCGGATGATGTCATAAATACATTATTATTAACTTTAATTATATATAAAATATAAAAAAATACAAAAGATAAAAAAATAAATATTTTTTAAAATTCCCGGTTTTACCGGTTCAACCAGACCGGTTTTCACCGGTTCGGCCGGTTTTTACTGGTTCACATGAATACCGGTTTTTTGGCCTTTAAGAACCAGATCCGGAACCAGTTCCCCCGGTCAAACCGGCCGGTTCGATACGGGCCTTTTATTTGGCAGGTCAAAAATCTCAACCTAAACTCATTTATTTTCATGTCGAGTTCATATCATGTTTTGTGTCTGTATCAAGAATTGCCGCTCCTAAAACTATCAAGAGGCTATTCCAATTTCCAAGTATCCATCCAACAGGTCCATGACCCCAACCTCCAAACACACCGTAAATGCAAATGTAAAGACATAGAGCATAAAGTTGAAACATGAAATAATCCATAGAACTGATTTTCTACATGAGTTGACCAAAAACATCAAAGGTTTATGAAGATATTCACTAGGCCATAATCCATATATAATCGATTACCCAAAAACCCACCAAAACTAGGTGAAAACAAGAAAGCTACTGATTCGTGTATGTATTGTTCTGATTCTGCATCTCAACAGCAGCTTGTGGAGCTTTTTCCATCGGCTGTGGAGACACTTGATTAGGGTTCGTTGTTTTACCAGCAGGAGGCAGACACCTTTTTGAGAAAAAAGCCGCTATAGACTTCGTTCGCCTCACAGTTTTCTCTATTTTTTCAAAAAATAAATAAATAAATAAGCATCAGCGAATAAAACCAAAAGAAGAACATGACAAACACATCTGTCCAAATGAGTTACCTGGAGAACGCGATAAGCCAAACTTCTCCAATATCTCTTTCTTGACCTGCAAAACCAAAAATTACTCATTTACCCATGACAATATTTGTTATCACACAGGGGTAATTTAGACATTTGATCATTACAAAATACAAACCTGCCAGCGGTTGTCTACAAAAATAGATATCTCACGAACTTTACTTTTCAACTGAGACTTTGCAACATTTGGAAACTTGCTGCGTAAACTTTTCACCACTACATTTATCCCATGTGGACAAGACTGAATGACAGTTACCTGAATAATTCATTATCATCAACAAGTCAAAAGTCAAAAAGTCAAACCACAACAATTAACAACAAAAGATTCAAATTCCAATTACTCACAATTTCAGGTAAGTCTGAATCAGTAATTATGGCCCCACTTGCTACTGGAACAACACCAGCTTTGCTACTTGAAGAACAGTCTTCTTGTTTCTGTTTTTCATCTTCTTGAATGTCATTGGGAGCTACTAAATCTATAGATGGGCCCACAGGGAAAGCACGAATGCTCAAAGCTTGTAAGCATGTTTGTTCACTTTCTGGGGTAGAAGAGAGAGGCTGTGATTGTGACTGTGACTTCTCATGCATTAAGTTGGAAACTACAAAAGGTCTGTTTTTCTTCAGAGCATGTTCAGTTAAAGTGTTGAGATGTTTTAGCTGTTTGAAAAATAAAGAAAGCTCTTCAGTTTCTATTTGGGGACAACTTGGTGAGCCATTTGCTTCTACAACTAACTCACTGTGATCCATTCTTTCAACTTCAACACCCTGTGTTAAATAAAGAAAGTTAGGATATGAGGATAAAAATAGCAATTTATTGAGAAGAATATTAAATGGTAAATATACCTCATTTTCAGAAAGATATCCATCAGGAACAAAAAACCCATCCTCACTTTCATCTTCATCATCAACTTTTGACAAATTTTCCTCCATATTTTCTTCTTCTTCTTCCTTATCACAATCTGATAAGCTTTCACCAGGTTCCTCCTGTATCACAAAACATTTATTAAACTAATATATTCAAAAAAATATATTTAATAAACAATTATGAACAATTGAACACATTCATTAATTATACAAACCTCCTCCCATTCTTCATCACTATCAATCTCATAATCCAGCTCTGGATCTTTAACAAGAGGGCAACGAGGTTTAACAACTTCACTGAAAAACAACAAATCCAAAACTAAATCAGATCAAAACCTAAAATACAATTTAAAATAATTCAAATTTGGTAACAGATAATTAATAACATTATGTACCTTTTCTTAGGCCAATAACCATAAAATGCAGGTCTGTGACTCTTATCAAACTGTAACAACTGTTTGCTGCTTCTAAACTTTTGGCTATCAATAACCGAATTATCTTTTGAGTCATTTTTATTTTCATTCCATCCATCAATTAGTTTTTCAATATTAGTCAACTTCAGCTCTTTGACCACAACAGTCTTTGGAGTCAACCGCATACCCCAATGCCTTTTTTTGCTACCACAATGAACTAATTGATGCCAAGAACTCAAATGTACACTGTAAGTACAAAAAAATGTCAAAATCCAATTACAAAACACAAAGAAGTATAAAAAGGATCATAAAAAAGTGAGCTTACTTCCATAACTCGTTTGCATCAAACTCTTTTTTTAGTGAAAGGGCATCATCCATTGATTGAACTACTGATTCAGGCACATGTGTTTTTTGTTTAGGTGAACTTTCTGTATCTTTGACTGGTGATTGGTCAACCTGCATAGGTGAGTTTCCATTACTTTTTTTTGAGGAATCTTTCCAAGATTGATGCTTGTTTTTGTAAAGCAAGCTGCTTTTTTTGTTCAGCTTCTTCTTTCTCTTTGCGTTTTTGTTCTTTTTCTGCTTCCTCTTGTTGTTTTTTTAACTGTTTTTTCATTTCAATTTCACGCCGTTTTTCTTCTTTTTCAGCCTCATCTTGCAGACGTTTCATTTCTTTCTCCTGTAAACCATTGACCAAAATAATATCAAAACATCTTTAAAGAACAAAAAAGTTGACATAAGAGAAACTGACCTATAGCTTACACAGCATATAAATATATAGATAGTAATTTTTTAGAACATTTTGAGAAGGGCACAATACAGGAAAACACAGAATACTTTCACTATTTTTTTTATTTAGCCGATTAACTATTTTTTGTAGTGATTAAACCATTATACCCTTTTGACCATTTTTAAAAAACAAATCTTCCAGGTTTCCCAATCTTGATATTAAGAAAAAGCACAACATACTTTGACCATTTTATCAATTTAGCAGTTTAAAACATTAAAGTTTTTGGTTTAAAAAAACATCTTTTAGGATTTTACTCATTTTCTGTATTTTGCAATTTGATGACTAACTCAATAAAATAGTAAAAGTACAAGTTTTTTCGGTATTTTGCACTCTTGAGGATAATGGGTGTTTGGATGTTAGTTTAAACTTAACTAACTATTTCATTTTGAAGTTTGAAATAATCAAACTCTAGGTGTTTGGGTGAACAGATTATGATTGTGGTTTTCTTGTCAATTAAGTGGAAGCAACCAGATTTGGTTAATCAAGTAAGGAACTGTAAAAAACTAAGATTAATGTATAATTGCCATACTACCCCTACCTTTAAACATATCTAACTATCTGATTCTAATTATTATGTAGCATTAACCACTTTGATAACACACATACAAACATATGTTGTGATATATATGTATTTGAAAGTAAGAATAAAACTTACATTTTGCAACTTTTCCTTCAAAAGTTCCCGCTCAATTCTCAATTTCTCTTTCTCAACTTCACGTTTGTTTTTCTCCAATTGCTTCACCACTAGTTTTTCTTCACGTTTTACTTCCTTCTCAGCACTTCATCCATGAACAAATGCCAGGTTATGGACCAAGAACAATAACATGTAACAAAATAATCAACAATACAACAACATATACTTACACGTCAGCACCATTTTTCTGTTCCATTTTTTCAACTAGTGAACGTATTTCCACTTCACTCAACACTTTAATAAGCCTTTCAGATGCTTTCAGAACCTTCTGAACACCATTTGAAGCGCTCTCTAGCTTCATTAGTTCAGTTATAACATCTGAAATTAATCATTTAATGTAATTAAACATCATAATAAGCTATCAAGGAAAGTTTTGTTCTTTCTTCAGTTAACATGGTAACAAGCAAACAGTTTGGAATCTTGAGTAATTGGGGATTTTTTTTTCTTCAGTTTCTTTTTCAAATCAAGAGGCCAAAAATCCACCCACTTCAAATAAAAGTTAAGAGCAATCGAACACTAACCAGAAACAGCAGTTATCCTTTCGTGGATCTTTTTGCGACAAGTACGCCGAATTTTAATCGCACCACGAAATGACTTCGGGAGTAATTTTATGTCTCTTGTCTGCAAGATTAATGGGGTTTTAGCATCAGTTATATATACATAAAGATACTCAAAAACACTAAATCTGATAGCAATTCGAGTGACTAATACGTTAAATGCAGATCATCATAAGCTATAAAGGAACCACAGCAGGAAATTTTCATTTATACCTCCCAACACCAAAGGGAAGAAGGAGAGTCGTCTTCCAATACATCCGCATTTGGGTTTTGTACTCCATAGAAAGATCTCTGGCCGATAAGAAGCACAGCGCTCTTCACAGAAGCAGGTGTCATCGAACCCTCTTTCTCTTTCAGTGTAGAGAAAATCGATTCCACCAATTTTGACAATGGAAGACTGTTCTCTTCCAGTAAAGACGCAATCATCGAATTAGTCGAACCATTCGCCTTAACTGAGTCTACATCGATTAGCGCGTCCCGACTAAGAGACTCGTTATAATACTTGAACAAACTATCAAGTTCCCCACGTAAAGCCCCAATGCGTGCTTCTCTTTCTTCTGTACTCATCACTAACTCAACCCTCTTCCTCTTCGTCGACTTCTTTGGAACGTCAACAACCATTGCATCGCCCATTTAGACAAACCCTAGACCCTAATTTTCAAAACCCTCTTTCCGATTTAACTAAAGAGATTTCAGATTCCGATCAAACTTCACTTGCACACAAACTATCGCATTTACCAGAATTTCTTGCCTCGAATCAACTCAAACCAACCAAGATTCTGATGAAATGATCCAGTTTTGGTGAATCTCTTTGGGTTTTTTTAAGAATAGGGGTAAAAGGATACGTGGGTGGGGTAAATGTGCCGACTGTTGAGGACTTGAGGCTTTCAACAAGTGTATTTCTTCCCTTTCTTACTTTATTTTCGGGTTTTGTAATCAAGTGTTGTATATCAAGAGGTGCAAACGAAAAATGGAAAATAAAACTAGGGTATCGATTTCCCGCTTTGATGAAAAGTAAATGGTGGGAAATCATATGTTTGCCGCTTAATAATTCGATTTCGAGACCTTATTCGCGCCCGATGGCACCCTCGGTGGTTCATCCCACAACATATGGATGGGTTCGATGCTTTATGTCTTCCTTGTTTCTTTCACTACACTAGGTCTAGGTCTTGTTTTAGATGTAACGTAATATTAATTATTGTGATTTTAATTTTGTAATGTTTGATAAAAATTGATATTAATTTAATTTTAGTTTTAACTTTTTGGGGTTATTAAAGTTAAATTATTAGATTTGAAAACACAGATGATGAAATTTTATAAATAAATTATTTTTTATAGTAAATGAAGAATATTGTATTTGATTATTTGATTAATTTGTTTTATTGTTTATTTGATTAACTTGTTTTGATTATTAAATTAAATATGTAGATGTCTTAAGTTGTATGGGACACATCACACATCATACGCTGGTATTTAATAATTAGAAATATGGTGTGTGGTATGTAACTATGTATATATATCTAGCATAATCTTAAATAAATTTTTGTATGTCGAAAATTGTTATTTTTGTCTACAAAAATTTGGGCTAACACCATTAGTCCAAAATTTTTATTATGTTGCGGTTTTTGTCCATTTTCTTTTGAAAAATATTCAAAATAACGAATTTGTCATTTATAGTTTTATTTTCTATTTTCCTTTTGATGGGATTTGATACAAAATATAAGTGTGTTTTTCATTAAAAAACCAGTCAACGGAAACCTTAAAAATAACAAGTTTATTTTTGAGTTTATAACAAAATCAAATCATCTAAAATTCATTTATAAATGTTATAATGATATTAAAACAATCATAAAGTATTTTAGAATGACAACATTTGAAGCCTTTGAACCCATTTGGTTTTGGGGTGTTGATGAAGATTTAAAAAAAAAAATCAAAGTGTATGATTTTCTCTACAAGTATCCATCATCAAGATAAGGCATTTGGAATGCTAGTTTTTTTTTTTTTAGTGTCTTAAACTTTTATGTAATTAACTCAAATAAGTACTAAATAAGACAACTCAATAGGGCTTCTAATCACCAAACTAATTGAGAGAGAGAGAGATGAGATGGGAAGAAGAAAGATAGTTTCAACCACCATCTAAAAGAGAGGAAAAAGAGTTTAACAGCTAGCCAAAAACTAATGCAAATGTCTTCTTTATATACTCTCATGCAAAGACATATATTTAAATTATAATAATATAAAGTATTGGTAGACTTTTAGAAATATGGAAGATATAAGAAAAATGTTGACAAACAGCCTCTCTTACTATAATAATAATTTTGGTCATGCTTAACAAGGAGACAAAAATTGTCTGGCTAGTTTATTTATCAAGGTATGTTAACTCATTGACTTAGGTGTTGTTTGTTTTTTGTAAAAAAACATCTTCAGACCTCTTATTGTTGCGCGGCGTAGCACACGCGTAACACTTTTAATCTCGCAGTTGTTTGTTTTTTAGAAGTCTTCAGAGTATAAAACATATGCGCGTGTTCTGTTTTGTTGTAGCACTTGTATTGTCGCTTTCAACCTCTTCTTTTTCTTTTTTCTTGCTGAAATTTTGATTATATGTTGCTAAAATCTTATCATACCTTTTTTTGGTTTTTTTTCTTGTTGAATTTTTTTCGTTTTTTATATATTGAATAATGATAATTTTTTGATGAAATATCTTTATTTTTTGCTAAGATATCTTTATTTTTTATTAAAATGTCATTATTTTTTGTTGAAAATCATAAAATTTTGCTGAAATTTCATACATTATTAAATTTTTGATATTAAAAAATTATTTTCGATTTATAAATTCGGTTTATTTTAATTTTTTAATATATGCAACAGCATACATATGTTAAAAAAACAAACACGCTTTTTATTACAGTCTGCAGCCGTTTGGTCCACCTCTTCTACTATAGAGGATTGCAGAGGTGGTTTGCAGATTTTATGAATTTTTACTTCAAAAAAACAAACAGCGCCTTAATCATTGTTAACCAAAGTGTCCAAAATTGTGTACATAATTTATTAAATCATATCATATGATGTAATAATTAGTTATACTCTCATTTAATTGTTATTTTTACAAAACAATAATTATTCCTGTAACATCTCGTTTAAATTAAAATAATTAAATAATAAACCCGAAACCCGAGTAGTAATTTTTATTATTATTTTATATTATTATTGCCCAAAAATTAATTAATAATTAGTGGGACGTTGGTTTCGAGAAGCCAAATGACAGGAATTGAATCTCCAGGGGTTAAAGTGTAATTTTGGGACTTAATTTGTAAGGATTTATGGAAGCAGGGACTAAAGAGTAAGTTCTGGACCTAAGATGAGAAGATTTCGTAGAGGATGGGCTGATTGGTAACATTTTGGACTTTAATTGGAAAGGTTTTCAGAAGGCGGGGTTTAATTGGTAAATTAGGGATTTGTTTTGAAAAGAATAATACAAGGAGGGACCATTTTTGCTATTATGGGATAAAGCCTAAGGAACCAGGTATATAACCCGTCTATCCCTCTAAAACCTAACCCTAGATGCTCTAAGCTCCAGCCGCCACCTCTCCATTCCTCCATTCTCCAGCCGTCGCATCCATGACTGTTATGTCCGGCCGCCGCGTCCAAGCCAACTGACGGTGCAACCACGACAGGGACGAATAGCCTTCCGTGATGTTGGTTCCGAGGGTCGCCGGACCAAATAACATCGTTGCCGTCTCCATTGAAGTTGGAAGATCATTCGTCGGGTAATGTCGTTGTTCCTCCGTCTCGCCATCGTAGCACCACCACAGTCGGTGGCTGAGGGTTACCGATTCACATCATCTCGTGTGTGGGCGACGTGTTGTTGGGCTGTGAATCAATAAGCAAACCGCCGCCACCATCGTGAGGTGATGGCTTTCATCGCAAAAACTGCTGCTGCCACCCCAAAGCGACCGAGGTGGGTGCGTATCTGACGTCAGGGTTTGGGTCTGTGTGTCTTCTGTTCGCGTTAGGTCGAAGTTACTTGGATGGGAACCAAGAGAAGTCTCACGGTGGTGGCTTCCATTTCTAAAATCGCGGAGTCGCCGCCACTCGCGTTGATGCCGCCGCCAGACGCCATATTGTTATTGCTGCCATTTTCCTGCCACCATCTACCACCGCTTGCTGCCTCCAGGTCGTTGATGGATGGTTTTGCGTGATCAGTTCATGCTTGTATGTGTTTTGGTGTTGCTTCGCGAGGGTGGTTGTGCCCTTTTGGGCGGAAACCATGGAAGGACCACCATGGCTGCCAACCATGGTGGTTATCGCCACCTTTCTGTTCTGCCGCCACGTGGTGGTGGTTGTGTGCGTGTTGTACTATGGATTTAGGTGTGTGTGTGAGTGTTAATTTGGTTTTAGCATTGTAATTGTAACAAAAGTGGTATAATGAAAGGAAAAACCCAAACCACCACCGTAGAGTGGTGGTTGCCGCCACCGGCCGCAGTACCGGGTGGCAGTGTACTTACCTTGTTGTGCTTGACTCATTTGGGGGATGCTTGGTCAAATTGGGCCCAAGGAAACCCAAATAGACCCTAATGGGTCCAATAAGGCCCAAAGTGACCTAAAAGCCCAACCAATGGATTAATGGGCTAGTATTGGGTTGGAAAAACCTAATTAGGGTTTGGAAAACCCTAATGGCATAAAACCCTAATTTGTGGGAAATCGATCGGGACACACACACAGGAATTATTTAATAAACTTGAAATATTAAATAATAATCATTGGCAAACTAACTTAAGGCAATAATGGACTTAATGGATTAAGTTCTTAATGGATTAAGTCCTTAATGGGTTAAGTAAGAAACACTTAACCCTAATTGTCATTTTATGTGAAACCATAATTTCCCTTGGGCTTTGTGTTGGACCTTTCTATTGGGTTTTGGTAATTGGGTTATTAGTGGGCCATCAAAGAACAAGCAAATGAACTAGAATAATTTAATAGGCTTTAGGGTAAGGCCCACATGAGGGTTTGGGCCCAATTTGGAAAATTGGGTCGTAGATGGGCCATAGTTTGGGCCTCGATGATTATATGATATTGGGCCATTGGAAATGCCAAATGTTTGGACTGGACTAAGTAGTTGGGCCTTTAATTATGACTATGTAAAGGTTTGGGCCCAATTTGGAAAATTGGGCCATATGTTGGGCTTTGGCCATGATTTGACTTTTGGGGTTTTGTAGTATGAGTTAGACCTTGGGCTTGGAACCCAATTTATTAATTGGGTATTGTTTGATGTTGACGGTTCGGGAATCTGTCAACCAGCAGCGGGAGCTTTACCTGCGGGACTTCAGCAGTGCCAGGTGAGTTATCCTCACTATATCAACAGGGTCTAAGGCACCAAGGCCGGCCCTTTCTCGGATTGTGTACTGGTATTTGTGTGATATGCTTATGCTTAGTGGCCTGGTTAGGTTGGTGTCCTGGTTATAGGATGTTGTTATGCTATTGGATCTGCTAGATCGGTTTGACTGTTATGATGCTAGCGTATGATATGTATGTGATATGCTTATGCTTAGTGACCTGGTTAGGTTGGTGTCCTGGTTATAGGATGTTGCTATGCTATTGGATCTGCTATATCGGTTTGACTGTTATGATGCCAGCGTGTATGTGATATGCTTATGCTTAGTGACCTGGTTAGGTCGGTGTCCTGGTTATAGGATGTTATTATGCTATATGATCTGTTAGATCGGTTGGATTGTTATATGTGTTATGCTAGCGTATGATAGTTATGTGCACATGTTTGTTTGATTGGGGGTGGGTTGAGGTGACCCTGCTTTGTGCTGAAGGCCAACACACCCAGGGCGGACCGGATAGACTACAAACCCAAAAGGGTATGGTAGTCAGACCGAAGTCCCAACGAGCAGTACGGATAGGCTGAAGGCCCTGAGAGGCGGTCCAGACGTGCCGAAGGCTCGGAGAGCGGTCCAGATAGACCGAAGGCCTGCGAGGCGGTCCAGTCAGGCTGAAAGCTCATTATGCATGTTGTTCTGT